TTTTTACGGAACGATATCGATTCCTAAATCCCAAGAATCGATTAGTCTCGCCTGTTTTCAGTTAATGGATGGAACATGGAAGGGTACTTCCCATTCAATAAATCGCAATAAGCATGGTTCTTTGGTACTTTTCATATGAAACAAAGTCTCAGATTTCAAATTCTGTCCGTTGTATTGCAGTATTCAAACAATAAATGCCGTTTTGGCGCTGTTTAATGTGGAGTGACAGATCGCTGTAGTGCCTCAGTTCAACAGACGCAGCAGCACGAGGCGCACATGAACAGATCATCTCCTCCACATTAATACCAGTTTCAGCACAAAATAAACATGACTAAACATCCGAAGGTAAGTTAAAAGAAAGAGTACAACTTTACAATCTGTATCCTGTCTTGTGTAATCGCTCAATCAGTGTTTCAGCCGCACAAAAATGTCAATATAACGGCTTGTAAACAATGTCACGTAACGTCACATTTACCTAGCCTATTCGGTGACCATAAACTCATTAGTCAGATAGAAAAATAAACTGTAGAGAGGGGCATTTTGCTAAATATATGCACCATATAACATATTCATTATAATAATAATTTATAATTTTCACTGTTCTTCAATGTTTAATTTATGTTTGAATAAATCCATCAAGTTTTTATGACAGCCACCATTTAAATGTTTATATTTCAAAAAAACGAATTGACATAGAAATATTAATATGTAACTGTAACTTTATTATTGTAAAAACTTCAATATTATAATGTAGTACCAACTGACTCTCATGTATATTTTAAGGCATTAGTTGAGATTTTTTTTTCCTTGAGAAAATTTGGCATGTACTGTAACTGATATATATCCAAAATAATCTATATTGAATCGAATCGAATCGGTAATCGTATCGAATTGCGCAAATTGTAATTTGTGGCCCTTCGCATTTTATGTAGTTTAAATGTGGCCCGCTTGGCCTCTGAACTTGAGTACCCCTGCATTAAGGCAGAGTCGTCTTTATTTATAGTAGCAGAGAATGCAATCCCAGCATGCAATGCAACAAGCTCAGGGAAATAATTAATTCAAGGTAGTGGACGGAGCAAGAGAAATGTTCAGCGTAATACTGAAATCTGCTTACTTAATCAATATATCTGCTTTAGACACAAGCCAAAATGTTACTGAGTTAAGTATTGAATAAGAAAATGTTTTTAGGTTTATTGTGAAAAGTTGTCCCTAGTAAAAAAGTAATATATTTACAATACATTTATTTCATACTAAGTATAGTTCAAATCTATTAACATATTTACTGACAGATAACTCAAGTCATACTGATATAAAAAATATAATTAAACATTATTTGGTGTTATACTTGTGCACCATGCATATTTCTTAATATTAAGTCTAAAATGTGTTAAACTGTGTGACACTTTTGATGAGGATTGTATGATCATATCGGTCTTTAAATACAATTAATTTAAAGTGTAGCTGAAGTATACTTGCAACAGTTCCACTTTAGCACAATCAAATATACTTCAGTATATCTTAAGTTGGACCTCAGCACTACTTCCACACAATTAAAGTGCATTAAGCACAAAATTAGTTGTTCCAATTTAACAGACTTTAAGTATACCAGTTTAGCATACTAAAAGTACAATTGCAGGGTATTTTATTAAGTACATAAATATGAAAATGTATTTGTAGTATACTTAGCATGTGTAGTAGTTCCTGTTTTCCTTTCTTGGTCATGTTTCCTGTTCTTGTTTAGTTGATTGATTCCGCTCACCTGTGTTTGTAATTATCCTGTGTTTATAAGTTCCTGTCTGTTCCTTAGTTCTTCGTCGGGTCTACTTGTTGTGAACGTCATCCTTGTGTTCTGTGTCTCCATGTTGGATTATTAAAGACTCTCATTTTTGTGAAATCTCCACGTTTCCTCGTTCCCGTGCTCCAGCATATTGTGACAGCATGAAATAAATATATTTCAGATATATTTAAGTATATTTATTTTTCACCAGGGGTAAAAAGCCAAAAATGTTTAATTGACTTATACAACATTTTGGCTTGTGTCTAAAGCAGATATATTGATTAAGTAAGCAGATTTCAGTGTTACACTGAACATTTCTCTTGCTCCGTCCACTAGCTTGAATTAATTACTTCCCTGAGCTTGTTGCAGTGCATGCTGGGATTGCATTCTTTCCACTGAGAACACATTATTCATGTGTCACATCTATGATGAGCTGCGGATGGGTGCCGCTTGGATTGGACAGAGAATCAATCTATACTGCCTTCTCTGGCCTTACCTTGGGATAAGCACTATAAAAACGGAAGATATCTCATCTGACACTTAAATCATATTTGTGACTTGATGTGAACCCAGTGTAAGGTGCTATTTGAATGAGCAGATGTGAGTGTGTGACGCAGCACCGCTTACCTCCAGAAGGACACGTGGAGTGCTTTCTTTGCTGGAAACACACCGATTGAGCTGCAGGTCCCAGTAACAGTGCCAGGCCGTGCTCAGACAGCTCGTGCACCTGCAGGACACACACACACACACACACACACACACACACACACTCATCAGGGACGGACCTTTACTCTCCTCAGGGTTTACATATACAGGTCAGAGTGTATGAATTCATGAAATAGCCAGCTTGGACAATATTTACACACAATCATGAAATCAGCTTGTGTTACATGGCTTTTTGCTGAATAGCAGCATTTGGAATATCATTATTTACGACTTTTTAAAACATTTTTCACTATTTCTCAGCATAGAAACAGCTTGAACAGCTGTGCAGGTGTTCAGCTACACTGAATGGTTTTGATAGTATTTCTATTATTAGGGTTTACATTTGGAATATATTTCAATACGGCATTGCTGTAGAAATGCTGTCTTATTCAGTTTTGTATTATGTTTAGGCTTTCAACAGTTTATTTTAAGTATGTAAAGGCACAAATCGGCCTGTAGGTCCACTGAGGTTTGGTGATTTTTGTGTTTCTGAGAGAGAAATGAATTCATGTGATTTGAAAGATGTCATTGAATGTATTTTGTGTCAAAGCAATGATAAACGATCCACGGTTCAGCCACACTGATGCTGTTTTGCTCACTGAAAGAGTGACTTAAGTACTGAGAAACGGATCCTAGTCATTGTAAAAAGAGAAAGCAGTCCATGTTTCCATGTGGAGCTATAAGTGTGTTCTTACAGCAGTGCTTCTCAAACATTTGTAGATTAACCCCTGTTAAACCTTACAGAAATCAAGTGGACAACACTTTGAGAAGCTCTGCTTTAGGACTTTTTAGGTGTGTGAAAAAAAACAGACAACTGTCTGAAGCACTGAAGATCGCTTACTGACCGACCCACATGATTGCAGGAGCACACAGATGCCGGAGCGGCCGAGTCTCTCAGTAAACGTGTGCACGCATGAAACATGCTGACTAACAGACCAGAGATCAGAAAGAGACTGTGTCAAACAGTGCGCAGAGTCTTCTCATAAACACTGATGAGCGTCAGCGGAGCCCCACAATTACCCCAGCATTCATCACAATGCTATCACAGACTGAACGAGGCACTGTGCTTGTTTAAGATCCAGCACTGCTCTCTCTCTCTGTGTGTGTGTGTGTGTGTGTGTGTGTGTGTGTGTGTGTGTGTGTGTGAGAGAGAGAGAATGTGTGTGTGTGTGTGTGTGTAGCGAATCAGCTCATGGGGAAATATGAATAATTAACCATAACTAGTTATAATTAACTATTCATATTTTAGATCCACTGTAGATATTTAGCTGACCACTCAGGGTCAACTGTCTTGTCAATTCTAAGACGTTAATTTCCTGGTTAAGGGAAATAACTTTCTTACTGTACAATTCTATAAGCTTGTAACGTAAATCTGCATGATTATTGACTCCGGTTATGAGGTGTGTGTGTGTGTGTGTGTTTGTGAGAGAGTGTGTGTGTGTGAGAGAGTGCAACCAGACATCATCTCAAACACCCTGATCACAAACACTCTTCTCTCACAAACAAGTATTTCCCTCTTTCTGTTAAAAACACCTACACTTCATGTTTTGCATAAAGAAAATCTTTGTTTTATGTCTTTGTAAAGTAATATTTTTTCTTTTGATTGTGTGGTGAAATCTGACCAGAGCTTTTCATTCTCAGAGTCTCTGTTGTGTGTTGTGCTCGGGTGTTGGTGGTGGAAAATCTGGCTCGGTTTAGCGTTTGAGAGTCATATATAGATCAGTGTGAAGAGTGTGCACTGGTGTGAATGATTTAAACTACTGTATGTTAACATGCGGATGATGCTGTTACAGATGTGAAGTTATACATTGTGCTGCCTCTCCTGTGGCCCTGAGCTTATTATCACCTTCACAGATGAGCAGATGTAAATGAACTGACACAGACCTGACAGGCACGTAGCACATTTACACCGCTCTTTCCATCTGAAGACTGTGCTCTATGATAACAGCACGTGTGCTGTGACACCAGAAATGTGGCACAGACTTTACTATATCTTTACTACACCACAGAATACGGATTTGTGTGGAATATAATGTTACGCTTCATAGATGTAAAGTAATATCCACTGGTTTATGAATAATCTTGTCAAGTTCCAAATAAAAAGAGAAAAAAGAGATGAAGTACCTTTCATTCACTGGATTATCCAAAGCAAAATATAGTTGTATAATATAAAATGCCAGTAGATTTTGACCTTGTGTGGACATTTTTTACGTTCCCCTGAGGAAACAAGCTTATAAATAACACATAATGAAGTGTTTTGAGAATGTAAAAGTACCTGTAGTTGTGTGTGAGGGTAGGTTTAGGTGTAGGGTTAGAGTAAGTGGATAGAAAATACAGTTTGTACAGTAGAAAAACCATTACGCCTATGGAATGAACCCATAATGATAGGAATAACCAGTGTGGGTGTGTGTGTGCGTGCGTGTGTGAGAGTGTGTGTGCTTACTCACGCAGTTTTGAAGTGGATTTCTCCAGTTCGTTCACACTCATAAATGGTGAAATTTCCAGAAACCACAGAAACACCATTAACCCTGATGGCCATGGGGACGGTGATGTGATCTAAACACAGACAAATCATTCTACACAACATATAACACACTAAACATATTCTGGGCTGAAATTTCAATAATGTCTCAGCATCTTCTAGCAAAATACTTGACAAAGATTGTACATTATGTGTTTCTGGCTGCTTTTTGCCTTTGACAGCCTTAGAAACATTCAAATTTAATGTTTAATGGAATTATTTAGCAAAGAGTAAGAGCAAGCTGTGTTTGTGTATGTACCTGTGCCAAAGGGGATTGTGGGATACATGTGAAGGGGCAGCAGAGGGCAGGTCTGGATCTGGGTTGTGCTGTAGTCCAGATGTACGGTGGCGTTTGTGGTGATTCCCACGCCATAATCACACTCCACCTGCAGACCCTGCAGATCCGGCACACTGCCATCTATCAGGATCCCAACGTTCTGAGAGGAGCAGACGATTAGCACATGCTACCACTGTACACACTACACACACACACATCACATCAAATTGTACTTATCTGACCGCCATCAATTCATGGCAGTGAATGAAGAGGTATCGTGCCAATCACAAGTGCAGTATGGAGTACCTCAAGGCTCAGTACTAGAACTGTTAATTTTCACGCTTTACATGTTACCCTTGGGAGATATTATCAGGAAACATGGTGTTAGTTTTCACTGTTATGCCGATGATACTTAGTTCTATATTTCTTCTTGGCCCGGCGAAACATACCAATTTGCAAAACTAATGGAATGCATAGTCGATATAAAAAACTGGATGCAGAGTAATTTCATACTGCTAAATTCTAAAAGAAACAGAGGTGTTAATTATAGAACCTAAAAACTCTGCATGTAATAACCTAGAACACTGTCTAACACTTGATGGCCGCTCTGTCAATTCCTCGTCATCAGTTAGGAACCTAGGTGTGCTATTTGATAGCAATCTTTCCTTCGAAAGCCACGTTTCTAGCATTTGTAAAACCGTATTTTTCCATCTCAAAAATATATCTAAATTACGACCTATGCTCTCAATGTCAAATGCAGCAATGTTAATTCATGCGTTCATGACCTCAAAGTTAGATTATTGTAATGCTTTATTGGGTGGTTGTTCTGCACGATTAATAAACATTTTAGTGAACACCAGGTACAAACACACACACACACACACACACACACACGCACACGCACACTGCCTCTGCATCAGCGTCAACCACACAAAACAGACAGCCACAGCTCACCCTAAAACCGCAAGACAGGAAGAGGAAATCTGTGTGCTTAACTGTCTTGAAAATAATGTCATAATAGTAAAACATTCTAAAATATAGCAAAAATAATTCTAAACAAAAAAGCTTCATTTTGTTTATGCAAATATAATGCCTTGTTGTTCTTTGGATTTTAGGGTGAAAAATGACCCAGACAGTTTTTCTTGACATTCACCAGTAACTGTAAGGCAGCAGACTCTGGGTGTTTCTGAGCATCTCTGAGAGTAACAGGACTCCTCTCTCTTCACACACTCATCTCTGCTATCACACGCCACATTGAGCTCTATTGTTGTCAGGATGGCAGACTGCCTGTTTCCTGTTTCCTGTTTGGGCTGAAGATTAATTTCCTCTGGCAGCGAGAGATCCATCCAGGAAAGAAGTTCACCTAATCACCTCAAATATCCTTAACATAAGATCTTTCACATGTAAGAGCAACGAACAGCCTGCAATTTGAGCTTCATATAGTCTTAAAATCTTCATCTCAGAATCTGATGTACTGTAGGAGCTACAGATGAAGTGAAGGATCAGTGCAGTGTTCTGCTGAGATGCTTTCACACACTCTGGACTGGTTGTCTGTGAGTTTACTAAGAATAGGCTGCATCTCGTTTAATAGTGTCGTTTATTTGCACACATTGTCTCTGTTGTTTCGCTTGCAGTGAATTATGTAAATCAGTTTGCAGCACAAACACGCTCATAAAGTGAGTGCTAACCGCAGTGAACGTCTCACAGGCCGGATCTGAGCGTGAGGATACCGCGATACTGACCGATCAATGGATCAGAAACACATCAACACCAAATCCTAGCAATTGTATTACCTATTCATCACGCAAATTCATGCGTAAAATAAGCTTTCTAATGAAAAAATTGTGTTGACAGAAAGAGAGTTGTTTCTCATAAATAAAGGCAAAGGTAACGCACATGTTTGATAAGAGCTTACGGGAAGATTGCTGTATGTGTATTTAAATTAAAAGTTGTTATAAGATTGATAATGTTCTGTATTTGTTGTTATTATAGTATATCTGCAGTTTCCCTATTAAACATTAAAAAAATAGTCAAATATATTGTTAATTGTCTGTAATTATTCAGTTTATTTGACAAAAAATTTGACCTCTATATTATTTGTCATAAATATATGATATTAAACAAACATTATTTACTCAGTACTTGCTTCATGCGGATTCTACATTAATGTAAAGATTCAATTTGTAAATACATTTGTGATTTCAAAAAGTTTGTGCTGCTGTAGTTCAGTGTGTGTGTGTGTGTGTGTGTGTGTGTGTGTTTGTGTGTGTGTGTGTGTGTGTGTGTGTGTGTGTGTGTGTGTGTGGGTGTGGGTGTGT